TAAAATTTTCAGGAACCTTTCTGACCGCCTCTTAATTGGAGAATGCTTTCTTGCTAAGAAAGTTCCCAAAGATTTGCAGTAGTTATCATCCGTTGGTAATAGCTATGACAAGTAAGATTAACTAGCCAGATTAACTAGCCTTAACAAACTCCTAAATAGCCATATGTGAAACACAAAGTTGTACTACAACATAACAGGTCAACTGATCAATTCCAACTGCAGACACCGGTTTCTTGTGCACTTTGCAAATTTTCTAGTCATAACCATAATGACGCTGTGATATTTACAAAACTCCGGACTGCTAGTGTCTGCGGTGGGGATCGAACACAATATTACCTTTCTGGGGTGCTAAGGCCTTCACCTCCACACCATGCGAGCCCTTCGTTTCGTCTTTCTCTCAGCTGTGTTATTGAACTATAGGTGCTATCAGCACAGCAATCATCCTTTAACGGGATTGATCTGGGAAGCCCAAATCGGTATTGATCCTAGTTAAGCTGAAGCTGTGGTATAAGATCTTAGCATCGTTATGGTTATATTTCACACAATACCCTCCTACAGGGACGCGTGTAGCGTAGTGGCAAAAGACGCCACTGCGACACACACGTGGAATCGATTCCCGTACCCATGGCCCACCAAGCTTTCCATCCTACCGGGGTCTGCAAAATTGGTACCAAACTTGTCTGCGAGGATAGCAGCACTGGCTCGATACATCGGTAGGCCACCGCGAGTCATTGTAAAGACCAGATATGCATTCAATCACCTCCATCAATAGTTAATGAAGTCGAATGCATGGCGCATCTTGGTCAACGTCGAGAGCTTTATCCTTTACCCTTTTTACCCTTCTATTAAAGAATAGTAGGCGGTAGATAAAAACTGACGACAATGTGATTTCTAATCATAGTTCTGTTATGAATAGGAATGGTCAGAGTTCAAGACCATAATCATTCTACCAAGAATAAAGAATTCGTCACAACTTCTATTTGTTTCAAACTTGTCAAAACGGCGCTACATAGTTTTTAACACTTATTTATTTGACAATTGAACTGCCCGACCTCGCTGGTTGTGCGGGCTCCAGCATAGTCACCATTTTTCGGAGACCTGCTGGTTAAGTTATTGTGGTTTCCTGGAATCCCGAGGTCAGCCTAACCAAAGTCTACTCCAGGTCTTCACCACCACGGGCAGTCGCAGCCCTTGTGGATCAGAGGGAGATTTACCACCATGCGACTTTGATACCAGGAGGGTGGTGGATCCTGGTATTGGTTTACTCCTAGCTGGGCTTCCTGATGGAAACGCCGGACTCTTTCTCAGCTTGGGAGACTCTGCCGGAGGGACGAATCTCCCTGCTGTACATCGCAGTCCGGCACCTAGAAACACCTTCCAGCCACGATGAGGCGGAAAACCGTTGAGAGGAATTTTTTACACTACGCAGAACAACGTCGCTTATCGTTCAGAGTCCATCTTTAGGCTAACATGATTATGTCATTGAGAAACGAATGGTTTATATTGCAAAAAAAAGGCGGAGTGCTGATTTCAATGATGAACATATTACTTTTCGTTCGATTCATGTGGGATGTTGAGAATTTTCTTCTTACTTGAAATGTTAAGACTCTCCATAACCGGTTTTTTATTCTAGAAGAACACGTAGCTCCTTTGCAAGCTGTCAAAACGTTGGGCACAGATCTGGGTTCAACTGGTGTCTTCAAATAGTCACTGTCAATGGCAACAGGTCAGATCTCCTCATTTACATATTCCTCATCTATGAGGCGAAACTTCTGAAAGCGGCTTAGAGCGCTTTCGACGGTCCCACTTCCAAACTTAGCTTGCTTAAAAAGTGGCTCTAGCTTATTTTCACTTAGATTTTTATTCAACTGGCTTATATTATATGAAAACTAGTGTAGAAGCAAAAAAGTTTAACTAAATATAGCTCCTTGCGCTTTAAAATGGTATATAAAGCATTTACAAATGAAAGATCATTGTGATAGATACGTTAATAATAATCAATAAGAAAAATAATCATTGTATCTGAGAGCATGAGATTTTCAGTGGCACAAATTCGAAACAGCACTTACCTCATCCAGCATTCGATCGTATTCACTGAGGTCAATTGGGACCAGGTCTATAAATATAAGCTGTCTTTATCATACTGGTTAAAAGTGAGAACCTTAAAAACTAAAGAAAACTAAACTTCATGATACCGATGTGGATATTTGCAGAATTTTAACACATAAATATGTAACTGATCGAGAGGCACAAGTATTAACATTACTAATTGATTCTTTACACTTGGACCCTCCGTCCTCACTGGTGATGCGGGCTCCAGCATAATCATCATTTTTCGGAAAGCTGCTTGCTAAGCTATTTCAGTTCTCTAGAATCCCGAGGTCATCCTGGCCAGCGTCTGCCCTAGGTATTCACCACCACGGGCAAATGCAGCTTTTGTGGATCAGAGAGAGATTTGCTACCACGCGATTAGTTTCATACCAGGACGGCAGTGGAACCCGGTATTGGTTTACTTCTACCTGGATTTCTTGATGGAAACGCCGGACTCCTTCACAGCTTCGGAGACCCTGCAGGAGGATAAATCCACTGCTGTACGTCGCAGTCCGACACCCGGGAACATCTCTCAGCCACGATGAGGCGGTAAACCGTTGAGAGTTATATTAACGTTAAGCGCCGGAAATTCATTGTAAGCTTTGCATGCATGGGAAGCAAAACAAACGATGTGTTTTGCTTTGCATCCAGTGCGCTCTCCTTCCAGTGACCTATTTCTCTATGCAGAGCTTCTTTACCCTACTTTTCCTTTAACTAATAGTTTGCCCAACACAGACATAGAAATACAAAAAAGTTCTTCCCTAACAGACATGAAAGACATCACAACCGACGTAACCGACACAAGTCGACATTGAATCCAACTGAACTGAAACAGCAGGTGGGTTGCGTAGGGGTTAGTGGTGCCGTCGATCAGGAAGCAATGGGAGCAGACTAGTTCGATCCCGGTCCCAACGCTCTCCTCCAATCCATGTGGGAACGTCTTACTCCGGGTATCTCCAAGATTGAAAGCAAAATCGACTGATGGGCATTCTACGTCATTCGCAATGAAGACGAAATCGCCAAGCAGGAACACGTGGGAAGTGTTCGAAGACCACTGTGGACAATGAAACTTAGGAAAGCGAATAAAATGCAAAAAGGGCTGGGTTCCGCACAGCAGATGTGGTGATGGGTCATTTAGAAAAAAGTTGCCAAGGATTGATCACTGCTTCCATTTTTTGTTGAGAAATCACAGTAGAAAACTAATTAGATCCCTTGTGAGAATTTATCCACCAAGTAAATTTTACGTGGGGCAGAACAAGTATGTCGTGTAGGATAAAGCTTTGTACATGAAAAAAAAATGGAAATCAGCTATTAGTTTTAGGTTAATATGAGTGAAATGTTGTGCTCAACCTCTTGAATATCATTACTTACTACTCAAAGTTCAAGGAGCAAAATGTTAACTTTGTAGAAGATAGACCTACCGTCTTCATTTGGAAGTTTGGCAGTTCGGAGCTCGGCAATTTCAATTTCTCGATACGCATCACCTTGCGAACTTGATTTATCACTACCAGTCTGAAAAGGGATGGTTTGGCTCCAATCAAAGGATGACAAGAGGAGGTCTTTGTTTATGAGCCCGTCATTTTAAAACACTCCACAAATTTTTGTCCTGCTTGCTTATTTTTCTCTTCTTAAAAAACTAAGGGCAAAACACACTAACTGTTAAATGCCGGAAAAAATATAAGGCATACAAGAGTTAGAAAACGGAAAAGTTCCTTTCAGCAATTGCTTACAATTTCGGATTTCTCAGGGCGATCGTCGTAGTCAAGAAATGGATTCCTGTTCAAGAAGTGAGCTTGAAGCAATAGTGGACTGTCTGAATATTAAATACCATCAGAATTCTGCCATCGTATAATCTTTGCAAAACTAAACAAATAAAAATGAAACTGAGGAAAAAAGTTTTCTTAGTTAAAGTTAATAGTCCCTATTAAAAACGAACTCGACGAGTGCAGCGCGATCACTAAATTTTTGGATGCGTTGCGCTTCTTATATTTTAATGGCGGGTTAATTTACAGGATACACAGCAGTATGCTCTCCAGGGAACTCTGGGCCTCATGTAGTATCTCCAAAACCAGAATTTCACCATTCAACAACAACGGTATCACTAATGTAAAACTATAGGTCTTGCAAGGCGGTGATATCTTGCTAAAATTGGACATTTGCTACCTTCCTAGAGAATACCGTAAAAGAAATGGACTGCGATGACAAGGGAGTAAATATTTATGGCCGGCAGCTGTTTCGTGACGTAATAACATCCTTATTATAACACCAAACATTAGCCAGGTGGAATGAACGGTGGTCACCTACGATATCACTTATGGGAAAATTAGTCACTCCTGAGAGACTTGAGAGTTGAGACTAATACCCAAAGAATAGAAAAAAAACTCCTATGACTCATTTAGGTAAAGCAGAGCTAATACGTCGGAGTACTCCAGATGTGTAATAGGAGTCAAGTAGTTCACATGATGTAAAACTGAGAACGAGAGCGGAGCAAGACGAAACGAGCAGCCATGTGAACTCATAAGAAGTATCAAGAATTTGGTAGACAGAACAACGAAGAGCCGAATCAATGCACACTCAATTCTTTCTGTGCCAAGGTACATCTTGGAAATAGGAATTCTACCTAAGCCAGAAGAAAAGCCACTCAGCGTTATATAATACGTTGTCGGCAGTGGGTTTTTAAGTGCTCCGTGCTACGCAAGTTACAGAGGAAACGCGAAGTTCTGACCAACGTTGACGGTCAAAACGACAACCAAAGAGCAAAAAACCCGTTTGCCTACGACAGGTGATCCAGGTGATCGTACAAGTGATACATCTTAACAGCACCGGCTGAACAAGAACCGTTATCGACAAAGTACAGCGAAATGTCAAGTACTCAGAAAGAACAGCGCCAACTTGATGGTCAAGATTATTCAAGAGAACTCTGGAAAGAAAACATGACAGCGAGAAGGACAAATTGGGAATTTACTGGCGTCTTCACAATTCTCGAGACGATAGACAGTTCGTAAAGCAAAGCCAAAGCCATTTATAAATGCTATGACTGCTTTTTGGCACTATATATCGACTTACGAAGTATAGAAGTCGAATCATGAACTATAGAAGAAACTGAAATCTTGTAAAGGATTTGGAATGAAGAAAATCTGTAATTGCACACATGTGTGATGAACAAAAAATATGCTTCAGCCGTTGATGGTAACTTCTCCAAAATTCGTTACAGACATTTCAACTAAACTTTTTGAACAATATTCGTTTGTACGAGTTGAGGTAGGCGTGTACAACGCAGTGGTTACAGAGGCCCTGCAATACTACGTGGGCTTCGATCCTGCTCCCCAAGCTCACAAGGCCTTCCATCTTTTCGCAGTAGGCAAACTGGTACCAAACTTCTCTGGAAAGATAGTAGGATCGACTTGATACATCGATAGTCCACCACGAAGATAGGCCAGATATGCAATCAAGAGCCTCTAACAGTGCTTGATAAAGTCGAATGTATGACACATCCCACAAGGATTGGATCAAAGGCGAGAGCTTGTACTAATCCTTATCTTTATTCTTATTAGCCACGGTTACAAGACCGTTTTAAAGATCTTGCTAAATCATAGATTAAATTAAAACGTGGTACAGTATTATTCGTTATGGGGAACATGTGAGTTAAAGGTTGACTGGAAGCATTCACTCCACTGGCATAACGGAAGTTATTTCTCCGAAACCCCTTAAGAAAACCGCATAGACATATTGAAATAGACGAACCAGCTATCTCGTATTCCGTGAAATACTTCACAAGTTTCATATATCAATTACGTAATGTGTTCATTTTATAAATCACAGGTAAAAAAAGTATGCTTTATAATGGACTCTAATGAGGTATCGTAAAAAAAATTCTATGGCCGTACCAATGAGATCATTGCAGAAATCTGAATAGCATATACAATGTCGTCCACGACCATCCGGATCCAACCAGCAGCTGTCTGTCCTGTTGAATTTCACGCCTGAACGGTTTCTGTTTTGGGTTGCTTGACGAAAGAAAATCGAACCCGAAGCATTTGTCCCATCAAACGTCAGTAATTGCAGAAAACTTCCATGACTGGTTGAACCTCGTCTACTTTTCGTCTTAAATTTCTTTTCAAACTGCATTACCTGCTCAACAGAGCAGACTCACCGATGCTTCGAATAAAAATAACTTTAAAAATGTAGGAAAGAGCGGTTTTTCTTTCAAAAAAAACATTTTACATTACTTAGGAATCAGGTTAAATCATTACGGGCCAAAAGACTAAATATTAATGCGTTTTCATGAACGAAAACGATAAAGGCAAACAAAGAAAGATGAAACGATTTTTTAAAAAAAAACTAGACTAAATATTTCACAAGTTTCATACATCAGACAGGCCAAACGAAGGACCCGTATGGTGTGGTGGTGAACACGTTACTCCCCGGAAAGGACTATAGCGCGTTCGTTCCCCACCGCAGACACCTGCGGTCCAGAGTTTTGCAAATGTCTCAGCATTACAATAGTTATAGTTCTCAAAATACCCCGCCGTTAAAAAAAACAGGCAGTAAATAAAAAGGTTAAGATTGTGATTATAACTACAGCCTCAGCTTAACTGGGTTCAATGCCGATTCGGGCTTCCCATATCAATCCCGTTGATGGGTGATTGCTGATGGCAAAATATCGATAGACTAAATACTGTTTTATTTCAGTGGTATAACAGTTCTCTCCTTTTCATTTTAAATGACAGATCGATGGAAATCTACTTGATAAAACTTTCAAACCTTCCATCGCCAATAGACAAAACGCAGTCATGGTCTTCTTGTCGTCACCGGTGTCATCTGTAAATGTAAAACTTACGTCTAATACTCGACAAGATCATACTGGCATGTGTCTCTTGTATTTGATGTCACACTGAAAGAGAAATAGGAGAGCGCGTGGTGGGAAAAGAAAGCACTCGATGACAACGCATGCATGGACTGCTAGGGAGAATGCGTTGATGGGCGAGTTCTCTTAGCAACAAAGGCTAAACGAGTAGGGATTTTCCTCGTGGACAAACAACATCACACTCATTGGTGCAGTTTTATACTGAATCTGCACTCACTCGACAGTCACAACTAATCAAAAGAATGATTCTGCAAACGATCTCCTACATTTTGTTCTCCGATCTGTTCTCTCGCCGTCTTTTCAAGGGTTGACTTTATCATATCTCCGATCACCGTTTCTTTCGTGTCGGCAGAATTTTTCGCATTTCCTGTTCTCGGCTTTCTCTGAACACGAAACGCATTCTACTTTTCCAAAACATCATTGAGGTAACTGGACATTTCGGAAAGCCTGAAGTCAATTTTCACACTGGTACTAACTTCTGTTATCACCACAAATAAATATGAGGAGGACGTAGCGCAGCGCAATCTCTTGCTACTCATTAACTTCTTATTGTTATTCATTATGCTGTTCAAAATTACCTTCACTGCCACAGAGAATCTATTAGAGAGACAATAAAATGGTAGTACATTTCTACAACATTATTTAGTTGCGTAAGTTTGAACCTCTACACGAGTGGACAGCAGCACTTCCCAGCAGTCCATGTAGCGTTGCGGAATTGTCGAATCGATTCTGGTCGCTCCACGAATGCCTTCGTTCCTCCCAAGGAGTAGGTTTCTCCTAGTTCCACCCTGCCCTCCACCCAGGACCTTCGCAAATTTCGACCGTCATGACACTCTGGGAGGCCATGACTAGGGGCTCTTTTCAGCTGGGTCCGTTGGATCTTGGATTACAAAACGAAACAAATGTCGTGAATAGTTTTCTCCACTACCATTCTCGAAGCGGTGACTGCCATGTCTAGATGTCGAAGGGCGATCATTCTAATCCATGACTATTTGGCGAATTTTGGAGACTTGCGAATGCTTTTTCAAGCCTCTGCAGCTCCAGCTACTTGTGGTGTTCTTCCTCTTTCTAAATCATTTCTATCGCCTTCCTGCAGAGTTCTACAACCTGATTACAACGTGTGGCTCGTACGTTTCCATATTAGTGTATTAGCTGGAAAGTTTATAGAAATGACATATTTCAGTTATTGTTAAAGTCTCCATTTTTTTCGCGCTATGGTGATGAGTGCAGTGGTCGGAGGCGCCCTGCAACACAGACTTGAAATCGATCCCTGCGCCCGTGGCCCACCAAGCCTTCCATCCCTCCGGGTCGGCAAATTGGCACCAGACTTATCTAGGAGGATAGCAGCACTGACTCGATAGCTCGGTAAGGTACCGCGAGTCATTGTAAAGGCCCAATATACATTCAATCATCTCCAACGATGCTTAATGAAATCGAATGCATGGCGCGACCCTCAGGCATTGATCAACGTCGAGAACTTTATCCTCTATCCTTTTTATCCTATCGTGTAAATGCTAACCCGAAAGCAACTTTCTATTAACCTCAGCATTGATTGATAATTCACTGTTTTTCTTCAATAAGTTAACACGACGTTGGTGCTACAGAATTTATAACCACACAATAGCTGACGTTTCGTAGAGTTCCGCCTTCTGCAGAACCTGGAGTGGTCAAATTAACATGCAATCTACTCAGCCCAACACTTTCATAACCTTAAGACCTAGACAGAGAGAATACTTAACACATGAATTTGCATTCACATAATTAACAGCTTTTAAATAACCACCGTTTTATTCCATGGGCGAGGAATGTGCGTGGCTCAGGTCAAAAAATCACCCTTCACCATGCCGCTAGGTCACGCGTCACCACAAAACCCTCCTCCTTGCGGTTTAAAAGAAGCTGTTTATTACGGCAATCCAGATTTATTATATTTAGTTTTATCTGCTGGGGTTATAAAAGTGTTTTACTGAGTAGATTGCATGTCAATTTGATCTTTCCAGGCTTTGAAGAAAGTGAAACCGTCGAAACGTCAGAAATTATTGTGTACTAATAAATGCTACAATACTAACCTCGGGTTTGATCATGAAGAAAAACATTGAGTCATTGTGAAAGTGCTGGATAAGCAAGAAGTACCAATGATCTCTGCTATCTACAATGTTACCAACCTAAAACCCAGCTAAAGGTATTTCAAAAACCACAATATACGATAACCTTAGGATATCGTTTCTTGAATTTTGCGGCACTATCCACTTCGTGCATAAAGACAACCTACACTAAAGATGCGATCGACCGTTTCCTTAGGAAGTTTTAGACAACATACACGTTGCTTAATGAAAATTTGGCACCAATAGTCTAGGTCGCCGTGATCTCAAAAACTCGTCCTATTTCTATTTCACTCTATCTTAATCAGTGGATCCTACTTTAGAGATTTATACATGTTCTCCTACAATCGAGTATGAAATCTGGGCTTCATTGTTGGTTGGGGTAGGTACATGAGGAAGAAGTCTATGAAAGCTGGAATCGATAAAAATCCTTATAATCGTTATGTCCTGCTCGAGTATTTGGTTGTTCAATCAACTTTCGTGATTAAAATCCTGTAGTTAGGGACAGTCGCCATTTTATTGTTGCATGGAACATTTCTTTTGCAGTGTCATCAATACGATTAGTGGACAGTGTCCTATTTTGGTCACTCCAATGACACCGTAGTTTGTTTCGTCACCCTATAACAATGGATTCCTAACGGAGAATTCCGGTGTAAGGGTACGTGGGCTGTAAGTAAATATCGTGCAGAGCTCGTTGCGAGCGACAATGAGTATTTTTAACCTTGTATGTGAACAAATGACCAGGTCATCCAATATTTTGATCGGTAGTACTAGAGTAATCGCAGAATAATTGATGGTTGAAGACGCTCAAAACACATGAAACGTCCAAATAAATAATTATTTCAGCAATGGAGATATAATAAGTGAATTAAAAATAAAAGAAGTCAAGACATACAGATCACACAGGCGAGCCCTGAACATTTTCTCTCCCTGGTACAGTTTTCATGGTTCGGACCGGTATTGTAACAGTCATAGCATGTCACGGCCAAACAAGAAGATATACATGCAGATAATACAATACTGCGAAACATCTGTAACGTCAACTTTAAGTGAAAGAAATGGTGGGAGAATATGCTGTCTCAAATTTATTGCGCAAATCGATGGAGGTTAAAGGCTTTAGGATCCAGTGCAGCTTTTCCCTTGATGTATTGTGTCACCGTAGAAATACGCAATTATGACACAGCAGGAAAAGAGGGCCGTTGTGAGAGAAAAACAGAAACGGAGAATACATAGTTCAGCAATGAGAATGTAAATTAACATTTAACATAAGATGGACAAGTCACTTTTATCAAATGGAAAACTAGAAAAATGTCTTAAGAACACTAATATAATCATCTAGTCCGGACACAATGTCGGTGAATGATAAAATCACAGGTGAAAAGATGGACACGTGCACACATTCACAACACCAACACCGACACCGACACCCGACTCACCAACACACACACAGACACACAGACACACAGACACACACACAGACACACACACACACACACACACACACACACACACACACACACACACACACACACACACACACACACACACACACACACACATGCTTCATAACGATTTTTATGGGCTGTTTGAAAAATGAATTACGCACATTAAAAGTCAAAAAATTTAAAATTATTTGAAAGCACATTTAAAGAGATAAGACATCTCCGCGTTAGAGAGCGTCTATGAATACGACATCAATTACGAAATGTGACAGCTTTATCACTAAAGCTCGATTTACAGTAAGAGCAATTCGATGGATGAAGGGGTCGCTGTCGAAATCCAATTTCTGTGAAGTGTTTCCGAATTGAATCAATACAAAATAAGCAAAAATACTAGCAGACAAGCCATCCCTTCAACCGTCGAAGAGAATATGACCAATTCATCCACTGTTTCATTCTCATCCAATTACAGAATAGATAAATAATGATAGGAAGTCAAAACAGTGGAAAACTCCGGTCTCTCAATTGATTTTTCAACCGAGTAAGATCTGAAGTTCCTCTGTTGTTCACTCGAAATTTAGCCAAAACATATTTTAGATTTGATTTTTTTGTCTAAACTACTGGCGTTTACATTTTGGCTTTCGTTCAATCCTAGTCCAGAAACTCCGAGATATTTCGAAGAGACTTCCATCGCCTTTTTAGCAGGAATTAGTAGCACGAATAAATACTAAGCAGCACTGATTGCATCCACCTAATTGAATGCCTTATAAAAATGTTGTCTAACATACTAATTCAACTACCAATTGAAAAAAGTAAGTGACATAGAGCTAAGAACTCATTACTCTCTGTCTCTTAGCACGTTCTCCATTTGATTCCATTCCATAAATTCCACAAATGGATCATAAACAGCTTAAAAGTCACCCTCGTATTGCAGAAATGTGATAGCTGGAAAACGCAATTAAAGAAAAGATTAAACTCTGGAACACCATTGAAATAAAGGCGTGTCTTTGCACTTCAAAGAAGAGTTTGAGAAAAAGTAAGCAAACAAAAGAAAAATCGGGAATCAATGTTGTCGGCGCGGAAATTTGAAGTTATGAGTAGTGAACGGGAAAAACTCTCGATCATAAATTGCTTACCACCGCCTCTCAGTATCTTTATTACAGAAGCTTTAAAGTGACTACCGGGTGTAGAGCGACAAATTCAAATCTTTCACCATCGTCTACCTATTTGGAACTTCGATCTGCTACTTAACCCGTAGTCCAGCAGTGCCCACAGGTGAGCCTCAAAGGCATAACTTATGTCCGCCCGCCCTTTGCCCTACTGGAGAAGAATGAAAGAAAGAAAAATGCGCAAGAAACAGTGTCGTGTTTAGCAAAACGTTAATGAACGAAATAAAACCGCCAGAGAACGAGTAGGTGTTCGATCAATGGAAATTCCCTTGCAGGAATTGAATGAGAGAATAGGAATGTTCAATCTGTGACTAGTGACCAATTCATGCATTGTGCACGACTATGACAGAAACTTCGCTGCTATTTTGATGCACTGTGTGCAATAGGCTACAATTCATTCAACAATCAACAAATGTTTGGTGATTAATGTAGGTAAATGCCACAACTACGTCATTCTCAAGCATTAAAACGGCAAGAAGGTGGTTGTGCACATCTAAGTCAAAATTCTACCTTTACGCGGCTTTTCATAAGCAAAAGAAGTCCACGATTCTATCCATTAGACGACAGATTTATAGCGTACAGATATTTCACGATAAGCCGAAAAGGAGCAGCGTGATATCTGTGCCAAATGTTCATCTTTCAAGGCCAAAAACGCCATCGGAGTTAAGGGACAAATTTTAACTGATCTATCACCTGAGCTTGATTCCACTGTCATATCGTGTGGTAGCGTGGGAAGCACAGTGGTTAGACGTGTCCTGCAATACATACGGGAACTTCGGTTCCATCCTACTCCATCGGCTCGTTAAGCCTTTACGTTCCTCCTTGTCGTCAAACTGGTACGGCCAGAATTTCATCAAAAGATAACAACCCTGACATGATACATCAGCAGACCCTGTGCAAGACACTGTGCAGGCAAATATGCATCCAGTCACTCTTAATGGAAAAGTACGTATGGCCATCCCGCAGGGATTGTACAACGCCTAACGTTTGGTCCCTTATCCTTCATCACCTCGCAATTCTAAAGGTCGAACTACGACATGAAGCACAATGAGTATAATGTGTAAGCGTTAGATGGACAGGAGAGTAGAGTGAAGATTCATCACCAAGCAGGTCTATTTTAGCTAATGAGCACATTGCCTTTCGGGAAAATACTTTGAAGCAAATGAATGTCATGGTAACGTTAGCGGCCTATGACCATCTCATCGAGAAAAGCAGTAAAAGTAAATGCCCAGTACTAGAAATGCCCTTCTGCGTCAGGCGAGGGAAACTAACTGTCGAAATCTCTTGCTCGAGAGGGCCAGTGGAGAATTCGATGGATTCGCACGAGTTAGAGACCCCGTTGATTAACGGGATTACGAGTGTAGCAGGTGCTCATTTAGAGACAAGTGAAGAAACATTGGGAGACTAACACAATATTATGCTGCTTCAAAGTTTGATCAGTAGATTTGTAGAGATAACGCTTCGGAAAAAACAGTAAAGATTAAAATATTATTAAGACTAGTAACTCACGACCGACCGCGATTCTATTACGAAACGACCTAGTTTTTATGAGAGACCAAACTACGTGATTACTTATTCTCATATTATAGCATTGCTACTATTATTACTATTTGTGGTCTAGAAATAACGCAGTGGTTAGTGGTGCCATCGACCAGGAAGCAATGGCACCAGTTCGATCCCCATCCCAACGCTCTCCTCCAATCCACGTGGGAACGCCTTAGCCCGGACATCTCTAAGATTGTAAAGCGGAGTGACTCAAATAGCATTATACGACATTCATGAGAAAGATGAAACCGTCAAGCAGCGGGTGAAACAACACATGAGCTTTGTGAGCGGTATATTTGAGGAAACGGATCGAATGCAAGGAGATCGAAGATCCGCGCAGTAGATAGACGGTCGTGTAGAATGAAAAAAATATCACTTGTGATGAGTCATTTTTCAGCATGAAGAGGAACTGCCATAAATCAACGAGAAAAAAGAGTTTAGTAGCATTAGCGAAGGAAAGGAATTCGTATTACTCCCAAAGGGATGGAGTTTAACACAAAGTTATCAGCAAACCTTACGAATTCCGAGGATTCACTTAATCAACAAGAATTCTCTTCAATTCTTTATCATTCCATTGCAAAAAGTGTTCGTACTGAAGTTGTTATGTACGAAAAACGCATAACTGTCCACACAATGAATAAGCAGTCCAGGCCGAAGTTTAAAATTGTCAAAGATCTTTATCAAGCTTTACCTCAACGTGAACATTCTTCTCGCAGAGGATACTAAGGTCGAAAAGTAACGAAGTAAAAAGATCACCGTCGCTCAGGCAGGGTTTCCAACTTATAGCAGCTGTCGTAGGAGAAAATAAATCAACAGAGTATTCAGGAAAACTGGACGAAATTATGCATTGACCTCTCTCGACAGTTGCACAGGAGTGAAATTTGATGCTGCGTGCAACGAAGCTCGTGTTTGTCTGCTTCTCTACTATCCCGATTTCGAGTTCAGTCGCGATCTGTTTTACCTCCACACTCTATCCGGCACGCAACACTTTCAGGACAGTTTGTCATGTTCCAGCATGAAGAAAAACGAAACAGATTCTGCAGCCCCTTTCGACTCTCGTCTTAGAGTCTGATGCACATTGAAGACCACGTCTTCTACAAAATGTGCACAAATTAAGCAAGCGACCCATGAAAATATATCGGAAGAGACGTTGCCGGTCCTTGAAGATGTGCAAGGTTTTTTTTTAAAAACGAATCCTAACATGAAGATGCAGAGACCAGATGAGCGAAGCGTGCCCATCGTTCAACAGTGCAAACAATAGAAAGGATAATGTTTATTGCAATTGGTTGACGGTACAAGTTCATGACACAAACATGTTGAAAAGGCAATAAACGACGTTGAAGCTGAAAGAAAAAGCAGGTTCATCACTGTGATGGCAAACAGCAAGAGGAAAGAACTACGTTTCTCGCAATTATGATTATCACAAGAACTCGTTCTTGTGCCTTCACCTTCAAGATGAAACAAGCCAAAGAGAAATGGTCGCCGTCAGAAAAAAAGTACCTTGCTGAAGAACGTTTAGGTACATGAGTAGATTCACTTGAAGAGAGAACAAAAAACCGCTGTCGTGCCACCAAAAGCTTATGATATTCACTTCATTTCATTGAAGACGGTTAATGATAAACTCAAAGTGGTATTCAAGTGGTGACGACGATAAACAAGTAAAGAAGCACTATCTTTTATCGGATCTTTTCTGTCACCTTTCGTAGGGCACTAAACAGCTAAGCACCTTCAAAACAGCGTCTTAGTTTGGACCCTGTGTAGTGTTCCCTTAAGACCGGAAAATTTGTACTATTTAACATACATTTTTATCAGGATACCCAGTGATTAGCAAATCTATATCAATGCATGCATGGTACAGTGATCTAATCATGGTCATCC